GGAGTTGGTGGGGGGGGGGGGGGGGGCGCTTCCTCACACCAGGAAAGCAAAGTCAGGCCACCAGGCCACAAAAACACGCATCAAGCAGGTAGTTGGTTCGTTCCCACAACCACCTCCTCCTCTCCTCCAACTCGCTCCTCTTCCTCCCGTCACAGCAACCCGACACAAAAGCAAAAAAAACAAAACACACACAAAGCAAACGACCCAACCAAGCACACTGCTGTAGCGAACGAGCGAAGGAAGAATAACTAACCTGCCCACGGTAATGCGCGACGAGTATCTGTACAAGCTCGTCGGGGTTGGTAATGAAGGCGTGCGACAGCACCAAAGCCTTCAGGCGGAGGGGTGCGTTGTCGATCTCGCTCATGGTCGTCCCCATCGCCCGCAGCACCGCAAACAAGATCGCACCGCCGCCGCCGCCGCCGCCGCCGCCCCCGGCGGCCGCGTTGACAGGGCTTCCCGGCGGCGGTGGCCGAAGGTGTTGGAGCACTCCGTCAGATCTGCTCAAAAATGTGTTACAGCAGTAATTGTTCGGAGGCGCGAGAGGTGTGGGGTTGGCTCTTTCTAGTTTTCCCTAGCATTGACGGCTGACCAATCGGAACATGTCTGTGTGTGACAAGACACGAAGAGATGCTCGCTTGTTGTGTCTCTCTGCGTGTTTGTGTTTGTGTTCGTATGTCTATTTCTTCCGGCTCGAGATAGCCTTCGCTGACCAGCTGACCAACTATTAATAATAACAGTCTCCGTTTTACTTGTGGCGGGATGTTCAAAAACCATGCGCGCCATCGTGTGCGTGTGGGTGACATAATCCCACATCACAAATACCAACGCACTGAAAAAACGCCCACGCACGCCGTCTTCCTGTCTGTTAAGCGCCTAATATTGTCGTGAACGTAAAGAGAGAGAACGTGAACGGACGGGGGCTTGTCATACCGTTGGAAAAACATGTGACACGCGGTTTTTCCAACGGTTACACCACTGCAGCCACGAAGCTCTCTGTAGGCCTGTCTACACACCGACGATCGCCGCACCTTCAAACCTTGGACAACACGTGCAGATACAACTACAGGCGGGGGGGGGCACGCGGACGGCGCAAGTTACGCATTTCGCCCCCCAAACTTGACCCAATAATTGAGCTCGAACAGGGAGGGGGGGGGGTTGACCGTACTGTTGGAAAAACAAACAACGCGAACGGATGTGGCTCAAGGTATTGTGCCCAGCCAAGGTCAGCTCAAACGCATCATTCGTGCTGACATACCTACCTTCGCCTCCAACATTTTGAGAAGGCGGGTGGGGGGAGGTGTTGAGCAGGGGGGGCACCGCACCTGCTGGTCAGAGAAACTTGCACCCGAATGGGGCTGATGGCCAGCTCCGAGAAGTAAAGCTTGTCCGCAAGAGCACTCTCGGCCGCAGCCTCGGCAGCACTCTGATTGGATAGGAAAGGGACAGATCGCAGCAAAGTGTTTAGCTAACCTCGTATTTGCTTGTAACATGTGGCACACGGATCGTGACGCATGAACGTGCGCACACGCGGACATAGCCCCAAGGGAGAGCAGGAGGGCGGAGGAGGCTCTGCAGAATATGTACCAGGAATCATGGTGATCACGTCGGGGTGCAGGGCGGAAAAACTGGTTCGTTGTCGGACTACAGTAAATGACTCCCGTGATCCTCAACTCTATCTGTCTCTTGTCTCTCTGCCTCTGTCTCTCTCCCTCTCAACAACCCCCGACAGCGAGGGTCGCTTTCCACTCTCTTGCCCGATCTCTTTCCTCCCGTACTGTGTACAGACCATCATCACCTCGGCAGGGTAGGGTACGTTCAACATCCTTCGCGTTATCCCTCCCCCCGGAACCGTTACGCCCACCGAACTGCTACTGCTACTGCTGGCAGGGTTGACCTGTGGCGGCGGCGGCGGCGGCGGCGGCGGGGCGTGTTTCAAAATTTTCAACAAGATAAAAGTCCATCTACTCAGACGGCAGTGTTTCGAAATTTTCAAAAAGATAAAAATTCCATCGACTCAGACGGCAGTAGTGCTGGCTGGGTGGGCGGCGTGCTAGCATACCACCCAGGTCGACTGTCGGCAAGGCGAGGTGTGTCGGGACGGGGTGTAAACGAGGTGTGGCGAGCGCCTAAGACTTCTTCTTCGGTCGCCAGACACTACATACAAGGTCCCCGGCAGAAGAAAGGGGGCCGCCGGACTCAAAAACACCGACGGAAAACACACGGCAAAGGCCGCAGCTCCCGTCCAGTTTGATGTACCTACCGCAGTCGGAGCTGTGACACAAATATCTCCCCTCTAGCCCCCCGGCCCTGCGCAATGCTTGCCAGGCCGACGAAATCCCAGCGTCCTCCGTCCCAGCTTTTCGCTTTTCTCAGGGCACACCAGGGGTCCCGAAAGCACGAACAACAATATTTGTGCATGAGGACAACCAAAGGGCTATGACACACCGCGCCACCCCAAGACAAGAACATCTGAGCAAACACAACCTCCACCTTGAGCACAAACATCAACAACCCTCCTCCTTCCCTAACACAAACTCTAACCTGAGCAAAAACACAAGCGAACCCCCCCCCCGGCGACGTCAACACGCCCGATACTGCTTTCGCATGCGCTGTGCAGGAAGCGCACCCACCTCGGCCATGAGGTCCGCGACCCTGCTGGCCGTTTCTGCCAAGGCTGCGACGAGAGCGACGTCGATGTTCACGTCCAGGGGAGCCAGGCGGACCGAGGCGAGGCGGACGAAGTTCACCCAGGCGTAGCCCAGGTCGCGGTGCAGGATCACCTCGAAGCAGCTCCCTGTCGCCGCCGCCGCCGCGGCCGTCGTTGTTGTTGTTGATGTTGCCTGCTGCAGGAGAGATAGAGAAGGAGAGAGACAGAGAGAGAGAGAGAGAGAGAGAGAGAGAGAGAGAGAGAGAGAGAGAGAGAGAGAGAGAGAGAGAGAGAGAGAGAGAGAGAGAGAGAGAGAGAGAGAGAGAGACGTGATGGCGGTGTTGGTATTGGGAGCGACGAGAGTGGCCGTTCTCGTTGCTGTGTCTGCTGCCGCTGCTGCTGTTGTTGCTCTTGCTGTCTTGTTGAGGTGCGACTACAAACAGTGGCTTCAACGCAGCGATGTGAGGGCGGCAGCGTCACAACGGGCATGAGGACGCCAAGCCACCGGAGGGTTGTCGGTACGACAAAAGAATGCAACAGAATGTATGTAAAACACGGGAGCGCGCACGACGTGACACCGTCGAAAAGGTACGGAAGGCAGAACACGAACAGGTGCATACTCGCAAGTGAGTGAAAGAGACAAAAACCAGGTATTGTAAACACACCGACACAAGAACAAAGGGGGTTGGTTCGGTAAGGTTCCTTTTTCGAAACCAACCTGACTTCGTACGTACAAGGTGGGGAACACGTGGATTGATTGGAGGTGCGAACAACGGGGTGAGGCACGCGAACGAGGTTCGTACAACATGGACCACGGCACCTGTCTAGTCGAACAGCGATACCTAACCCCAACCTAACCCTTCGGCAGATCTTCTGGTGGATAGTGGCAACTGTGTTTACACCGGCGGACTTCGACAGCAACAACAACCCTTTGCGCCTGACTCTCTGCTGCAGCACAAACAACACGCATATCGTTGCACAAGCAGGGCTAGAGGCTGCGCCCGGGCAGGAGGCTAGCTATTTGTACAGCGAAGTAGGCCAGCAATGCTATTCATTCGTTAAGAGTTCTACTGCTGTCAGCACCTGGCCGCCGCCACCGCCGCCGCCGCCGCTGTCTCGCTCCCTCACGTCCTCCCTCCCCGCGGTGCCAAAGCCCGAAGCGCCGATGCCGCCAATGTCGAACATAGCCGCGAACGGCACCGCGGCCGGCGTCGCCGGGGTCGCCGCCGACGCTGAAGGGTGCCGCCTCACGGCCCTGTGCCGCGGGGGCAGGGCCTCGACGATCGGGTACAAGAGTCCCGGGTAAGGGGTCACCACCAGTTGGTTGTCGATCTGGGTTTTTTACCAGTAGGCATCACGACGAAGAGAGAGAGGGGCGGGGGGGGGGGGGCGTACTCATGTTATTGTTTGTATGCCTTAGCTGTTGACCGTGCGCGTCCTCGAGAAGAGACGGGGAATCTGGACCGACCGCCGATATGCCAATCGTTCCTTCCTAAACACTATACGCCGAAGGTGGCAAAAACGTGTGCTCCCTTTTCTTTCCTCTCTATGTCACATCACGATAGAGGGGCGGGGGGATATCGACGATTGGTTGCTGCGAACGACGTTGCTTCGCTCGAAAAAAAGAAGACCGTTTCGGGCAAGGGGAAGTGATTCGCTTGCTGCGATGGCCCGACTTTTCAGCAGGCGTGTTGTTGCCATACACGGCGGGACACAAGATGGTGTCGTGACGCTATTGTGGAAACAAATCCCGTCCCTGCTATAACAAAGCCTCGAGGTGTTGATGATCTGATTGATGATGGCTCGGTACCTACACAGACAGAGCTAGATCTCTTCTGGACCTGTACTGTAGCGCTCCGAAAGTAACTTCCGTCCTCACGGGCGGCACACGTTTCCCGCCCACCGCCAATCGTTCTTTGCAATACATGCCATGCCTCACCTGGAGCTTGCCGATGTTCGCACGCACCCGTTCGCTCTGGGACAACAAGAATCCAACGAGCAGCAGCAGCAGCAGAAGGGAAGTAGGAAACGTGCGACGACGCCCACACAGCAGGTACAGGCAGAAAGCGGTCAAGCAGACTCAACGAGCAGCAATGACAGGAAACATAGGACGACGCCCACACAGCAGGTACGGGCAGAAAGCGGTCCAAGCAGACGAAGGAGTGAGAACACGCAACATGCCACGTGGGACCGCCGCCGCTGCCGCCGCCGCCGCCGCCGACCAGTCTCGGGACTTGCAGCAGGCAGGTGACAGACGGCGACTACGAAAAGGGCAAAAGGTCTCTCCCCCGTGTGCAGCTCGGTGTTTCTCTCTTTGCCCGTACGCTACGAGCTTGGGGACCACGTCGTCTACAGAAGCAGCAGCCTCAGGCCCTCACCCCTACACCTGAACCAGCGCCTGTCTACTCTGTGTCTCCCCATGTCTACTCTGTGTCTCCCCCTGTCTTCCTATCCCCCAGCCTCTAGCCATTCTCAACAAACGCGACAAATCTCCTGACCGGCTCACAACCCCCCCCCCCCCCCCCGGGGTTTGCTATCGGGGTTGGGTTTTCCTCCCTTGGCAACGACCTTTTAAAAAAAACCCCCCCCCCCGCGTTTGGCATCCGGAATGGGTTTTTCTCCCTTGGGAACCAACTTTTAAAAAAAACCAATTTACTTTCTGAAATCCGCAACCAAGGTAACGGGTTTGTTTTTTACCCCTGTTTTTTTTTTGGGGGGAAACAAAAAGGGGGGCCAATAAAACATGTTGTGGGGGGGGGAAAAACCCCCCTCCCCGCAAGGGGGAAGAACCCACCCCCTTGTGTTAAAAAGGGCAAACATCCTCCAAGGAGTTACACAATGGTTAAAAATGTCTCTGGAAATGAAAACACCAAAAAAAAAATTAAATCCTAACCAACTGTCATCCCTACCCAAGGATGTAAACACAAAAAGCCCAAAAACCTTAACAAGAAGCAATTTACCCTTTATGCGAATCCCCCAAAAACTCACGGGGCTTTCCGCTTGGTGAAGTGAAAACCTGGGCCCGGGAAAAACCCGCGTGGTCCCTCCCCGCTTTTTAAGGAAGCCAAGGCAATGGGCTAA